CTATACTGTTTTCTAGAGCAGCTACACCACAGTGCAAGAGGGTTCCCATTTCTCCACATCCTCACCAACATCTGTTGTTGCCTGAGTTATTAATTTAAGCCATTTTAACCAGTGTGAGATGCTATCTCACTGTGGTTTTAATTTGTATTTCCCTAATGATGAGTGATGTTGAGCATTTTTTCCCATGTCTGTTAGTCATGTGGATGTCTTCTTTGGAAAAGTGTCTATGCGTGTCTTTTGCCCGTTTCTTCATTGGATTATCTGTTTTTTGGGTGTTGAGTGTAGTAAGTTCCTTATAGATTTTGGATACTAACGCTTTATGTGGTATGGCATTTGCAAATACCTTCTCCCATTCCTTTGATTGCCTTTTAGTTTTGCAGATTGTTTCCTTCGCTGTGCAGAAGCTTTTTATCTTGATGAGGTCCCAATAGTACATTTGTGCTTTTGTTTCCCTTGCCTCTGGAGACATGTTGAGTAAGAAGTTGCTGCAGCCAATGTCAAAGAGGCTTTTACCTGCTTTCTCCTCTTGGATTTTGATGGCTTCCTGTCTTACGTTTAGGTCTTTCATCCATTTTGAGTTTATTTTTGTGTGTGGTGTAAGAAAGTGGTCCAGGTTCATTTTTTGCATGTCATTGTCAGCTTTCCAAGCACCATTTGCTGAAGAGACTGTCTTTATTCCATTGGATAAATAAACATTTTTAAAAACTGTTTTTTTTAATATTTATTTGGTTTTGAAAGAGCGCAAGTGAGGGTGGGGCAGAGAGAGGGGGACAGAACATCGGAAATGGGCTCTGCACTGACAGGCTGCCAGCAGCGAGCCCGATGTGGGGCTTGAACTCACGCACTGTGAGATCATGACCTGAGCTGAAGTTGGACGCTCAGCCGACTGAGCCACCCTAGTGCCCCTAAACTGTTTTTAACAACCCACACTGAGTAAAGAAACCAACCCCTGCCCCAAATCATCCTGTATGATTTAACTTTTAAAACTTCTAAAAAATGCCAACGAATCTATAAAACAAAATCCAGTGTAATGTTTCATGGGACACAGAGTAAGAGGGGCAGAGGGGGCTAAGTGAAGAGAATAAAGAGGGCATGAGGAGAATTTTGAGAGTAAGGGGCACATTCACTCTCTTCATGTAAGAATGCTTTCTCTGGTGAATATATATGGCAAAACTTAGGAGGCTGTATACTTTTTTAAATGTTCAAATGTTTACTTATTTCTGAGAAGAGAGAGAGAGAGAGCACGAGTGGGGGAGGCGCAGAGACACAGGGAGACACAGAATCTGAAGCAGGCTCCATGCTCAGAGTTGTCAGCACAGACCCCTACCCCGGGTTCAAGCTCAGGAGCCAGCTGAGGTCGGACACTTAACGAACTGAGCCACCCAGGCACCACCCCTTTTTTTATACATTCAATATGTTGAGTTTCTTATATGTCAACTATAACACAAAAAAGTTCCAAAAAGTTATATCTACATATATGAAATATTACTTAAAATATACATGAAAAAAATCTACAGAACGTCCACATTTTCCTCATGGTTCACCAGAGGGCAGCAGAGACGATCCACAGCCTAGAGCCTTGGTGGGGGAGGGCACTACTGATCTGCCTTGGCACCCACACCCCAGCAGGGTCTGACCCTCCCAGCCTCACTCCATCACGGTCCTCCTCCCTCTCCAGGCTCCCCACACTGAACTCTTCAACCCTCCAGCCCACCAGGTGTCTGCCTGCTGAGACTGGTCCCTCTGTAGGCAGCTCATCCCTCCACACCCCTGTCCTTGGAGGTGCGAAGGCCCCCCACACTTGCGGTCTCAGCCAAAAGATCACTTTGTCAGGAGTGTTTCATGTGACCCCCAGACCAGCTGAGACCCCTTTACATGCTCCCGTCACACCAGACACTTTCCCTTCACGGCTCTTCTCTCCTTTCTATTGTATTTTATTTTAAATCTTATTTAAAAATATGTTTTAATGTTTATTTCTTTATGAGAGAGAGAAAGACAGAGCATGAGCAGGGGAGGGGCACAGAGAGAGGGAGACACAGTTTCCAAAGTAGGCTCCAGGCGATGAGCTATTAGCACAGACCCTGACACAGGGCTCGAACCCATGAACCTTTTGTTCAAGACTTGAGTTAAAGTTGAACACTCTGCCAACCAGGGCGCCCCCCCGTCCCTTTTTTCAGAGAGAAAGAGAAAATCAGGGACACAGATAAAGAGGGAATCCACACATGCTCCACACCCAGTGGGCAGGCAACGAGAGTCTCAATCTCACAGCAGAGAGATCATGACCTGAGCCAAAATCAAGAGGCAGACACTTAAGCAATTGAGAAATGCAGGCACCCCACCTTCTCTCCCAATTTAAGTGAGTCTCAAAACCATGATATTCTCTGAGAGCTTCTGGCCCTGTTGCAAGGGAGGCACCAGGAGTCCAGGATCCATGTCTGTCCTGTTCTCTCTGGAGTTCCCAGCTCCCAGCCCAGGGCCTGACACGTCACAGAGGCCCAGGAAAAACTCGTTATGTGCAGGAGGGACACCACACCATGGAAGCATGTCACCCATGTGATACCTGGGGTCAGAGTGTCTTCCCTGTAGACCCAGCGGCACTGGATCAGTGCAGAAGGAGGCCAGCAAGGTCCCCAGGCTGTCGATTTAAGGCTATTGGGCCTTTATCCCTCCTAGATTCAGGAGGGAGGACAGGGGCCTCCAACAGTGAGGGGTTGGACACCCATTCATTCCCAGAAAGCTGAAGCCCCCCCCCCCCATCTCTACCTTGTGAACAACCTGTCCCCAGAGGGCTGACCGGGCAGCCTGTGTGCTTCCTCTTCTCTCAGAGATCTGACCTGGCACCAATTCTGGATACGACCCCAGGTGGAGTTAGCACCACGGGAGTTCAGAGTCAGACCCTGACCTCCAATGAAATCAGGAAATGACTCCTCAACCTGAGGGCCCCTGGGATGTGGAGACGAACACCTGCTGCGGCTCCCTGAAGATTTCTCACTGGCCTAAGGAGTCCTATGGAATGAGGGGAACTTCCTGTGCAGGATGGGACAGGACAACCCAGGGTCTACATTTGTTTCCATCTCAGAGGGGCTGAGGGTCTCCCCTCCTCTGGAAGCCCTGAGATCCCTCAGCTGAGTCCCCAGGTGGGGTCCCTGGGGAGGCCCAGAGCAAAGGCAGGGACACGGACGACATGGATGCAGTCCCCTTGTTGCTGTGATGAGGAAAAAGGGCATTGGGGTGTCCAGCTTCTGCCCCCGCCCAGGCCCAGTGCCTCTTGCAAATTCTCAAGAGACCTCTACTAGGTTGTACCTTACATCCTGAGGACAGAGAGCTCCTCCTGGCGACCACATCCCTCTGGGTCAACAATTCTCCCAACTCAGGATAAGGAACCTTCTGGACACTGCCTGTCCTCTCCCTGGGCTCACCCTGCCCTGGAATGGAGTCAGGCAGCCTAGGACCCACTGGGACTCAGACCCAGGCTGTCCAGGGGTCAGGCCCTCACATCCTTTGGAACCTGCTCAGCATCCCTGGTGCAGCCCCAGCATCACCTCCAGGGGGCGACATAGGGACATGCAGGCAACACACAGGGACTTCAAATGGGAAGCTGGCTTTGTTTGGCCAAGGAGGGAGAGGAGCCTGATTTCCATCCCTTTCTCCAACAGACCCTTCTGAGTCCTCCCACGTGGCTGTTCTGTCCTGTCTGCTCCTTCTAGGGACCTTGGAGCACCCTGATCTGTCAGGGGTCCCTGTGCAGCCCTCACTCCTCGCCTGGCACCACCATGGGGGAGGCAGGGTGACCACAGGAAAGTCCCCCAGCCAGACGACACGGCTGCCCAGCACGCTCAGGAGCGCACGGTCAGCCTCTCGGCCACAGTGCAGCCAGCAGACTCGTAGAGGGAGGGTCTCCCTACAACCTTCCCTGCAGGATCAGGGAACCTCCAGCCACCCGACCTCCCACCACCTCTTCTCTTCCCAGGACACACAGGAAACCCCCTTCACACCCTGAACCTGAGCACCTGAGACACTTACTCCTGGGTCTCTGTCCCTGGAAGCAGAGGCGGGGATGGTGACACCCAGGGATGGAGACTGGGTCCCTCACCAGTCATCACCCGGCTTGGCCCCTTCCCACCCTCAGAGTCACCTCTGTGACCTTGCCGCCAGGGGTAAATCCAGCCTCCCCAGAGCACTTGAGAACACGGGGGAGCCGGTGCCCTGCTGGCCTTCTCTGTTACAGACGGAGAGAAGCCCCTGGGTTTGGCGACCCGGGGGCTCTGTGCATGGGGCTGACAGACTCAAGGCCAGGACACGGCAGAGGCCAAGTCGGAGTAGGGACGAGGCTCGCCCTCTAAGGGAACCGGGTCCCCATCAGCCTCGCTATTCAGAGTGTGCTCCCCGCCCAGGACAACCAGCATCAGCTGAGAGCTTGTTAGAGGCCGATCTCAGGTCCACACCACACCTGCTGGGTCAGAATCTGCGTTTTACAGGATCCGCTGACCCCCTGTGGGTACAGGAGGGAGAGGTGGCCCCACCCCCACATCGTGGGGTCTCAGCCTGGCTGGCCATCTGCTGAAGCAGCATGTCTAGGGGTCACCTGGGCATTCCGAACGCTTAGAAAGTTCCACAGGTGATCCCGATGCCCAGTGCGGGTAACGTCCCTGTGACAAGAGCCTGACGTAGCCCCCCAGCCTCCTGCTCTGAAGAGAAGAGCCACGTGGGGAGGAGAGAGGGCAGCAGGGAGTGCTGACTGTGCACCTTGACCCTGAGCGTGGGGAGCGCCCGGGACTCCAGTGCCACAGGCTGGTGCTTGTCCACACGAGGGCGCAGCGCTCGCATGTGGTGGGAAATCCCCCTGAAGCGGGAGAGGCCTCAGCAGCTCCCAGGGAAGCGGAAGGTGGAGGAAATGAAAGGGGAAGAACAGACCCGAGGGCAGGAGTGAGGAAAGGAGAGGGGAGGGTAGAGGAGGGGGGGACCTGGCAAGACCCCGCCCCGGCCCACATGACCTGGCCAGGAGCTCCTGCCCACAGAGGCAATCAAGCCCAGAGGGAGGAAGGACAGTGGAGGCAACTGGTCAGGACAGCAGTGCCCCTGAGCATTTCTGCAGCAGACGCTCTCCTCTCAGGAGGGACAGAGCAGGCAGCAGGCACCATGGAGCCCCCCTCGGCCCCTCCCCGAGGAAGGCGTGTCCCCTGGCAGAAGCTCCTGCTGGCAGGTGAGAGGGACGGAGGGGAGGGGGGAAGAGAGAGAGACTGGCTGGAGCCTCCCCAGAGGACAGGACGCTGAGAGGGGACATGGGAACAGACAGGGCAGGACAGCAGATTCCCGGCTCAGCAACAGGAAAATCTCATGATCTGGAAGTGGTGAGCGAAGTGCTGCTTCCCAAGTTACTCATCTCTGAGGACTGAAGGTTGCAAACCGAGGTTAGCAACCAGGGACCCCAAACGCTGCCCCTCCCAGCAGCCCGAGACACAGACAGATGACCGCTGGGACACGGAGGGCCCTGGGAACACTCACGCATCCATCCACAGGGATTTGCAGCCCGCTCCACCACTGGGGCACAACCCAGGTCAGAGTCCCTGCCCTCCCTGAGCGCACTTCTCTGGGGAGGAAGACAGACAGGCAAAGACATGAAATGGGAGGTCAGGTGTGGAGCAGTCATGAAGAGAACAGAGCAGGGAAAGGTCAGAATGTGAAGACAGAGGGTCCTTGGAGGAGGCGCTGTGGGCAGGCCTCTCCCGAGGACCCCCTGAGTGTGAGCAGGTGTCGGGGGTATGGGGGAGTGAGCCCACAGACATCTGAGGAAGAGTATTCGACACAGAGAAAATCACAAGTTCAGAGGCGCCAAAGTAATGATAGTTGTGCTGCTGACCTTGACCAGTAGGAGACACACATACACACAAAGACACGTGCAAACTCACACCTGCCCCTAAAGCTGAGGGATTAGGAGCTGCTCAGTCTCAGGGCCCCATCTTTCCATCCCAATCATAGGTCAATTATTCAGCCATGTCTTCTCCCTTCTCTCCTAGTCTCACTCTTAACCTTCTGGAACCCTCCCACCACCGCCCAAGTCACTATTGAATCTGTGCCGCCCAATGTTGCCGAAGGGAAGGATGTTCTTCTGCGTGTCCACAATCTGCCTGGGAATCTTCTAGGCTTTGGCTGGTTCAGAGGGGAAACTATAGACCCCAGTAGAGAAATTGTATCATATGCAGCAGACTCACAAGCAATATCCCCAGGAGCTGCGCACAGCGGCAGAGAGACATTATATCACAATGGATCCCTGCTGCTCCAGAACACCACCCTGGAGGACGCGGGATACTACACCCTACAGTACATACACAGAAATGTCCAAATTGAAAAAGTAACTGGACAGCTCCGTGTATTCCGTGAGTAATTCCTCTCCCCTCTGGTGTCGGGTGGGGGTGAATTCTACTTCACACACAGAATTGCCAGGCCTGGACTGTGCCTCTGTCCCCCTCTGCACTGTGTCCCGTGTGGGGTTTGGGCATTCAGTGCAGGACACACACCGTGGACACAGTCGTCCTAAGATTGAATTCCTTTCCTGGAATCCAGACCCTACAGCCATCTGAGACTAACCATGCAGGACTCTGTCCAGGCTAAGCCTGAGTGGCCCTTGGGATCCTCACTAGAGCTCAGCCCAGAAAGCCCCTGCCCAGACCACTGCCTTGGGGCTCCTGACTCTAGTCACCTGGGAACTCTGTGCCAGGGTGGGGTTAGGGCTCCTGGGCAGGGCTGACTGGGAGCAGCGATTTCCTAGGTGCCCAAGTCCTGAGCCTCTAAGCTTGTCACCAGCCAGTGCTCAGTCTCAAGATCGACATCTGGACAGCACAGACATATAAAGTCCCCAGTCCATTAGCCAGCCACCCTGGGAGACTTCGGGGGAAGGTCAGCAGCCCCGGGAGGAACAGAGCAGAGAGGAGCTTCCGTTGACTCTTCTTCCACAAAGAACAAGCTGCAGTTGAGGTCAAGAAGGTTGTTTCTTGCATTGTCCTCTAGGGTTTTGGTGGTTTCCTGTCTCACATCAGGTCCTTTATCCATTTTGAGTTTATTTTTGTGCATGGTGTGAGAAAATGATCTAGTTTCATTCTTCTGCATGTTGCTGTCCAGTTCTCCCAGCACCATGTGTTAAAGAGGCTGTCTTTTTCCCACTGGATACCCTTTTGCTTTGTCAAAGATTAGTTGGCCATACATTTGTGGGTCCAATTCTGAGCTCTCTATTCTATTTCATTTGGTCTATGTGTCTGTTTTTGTGCCAATACCATACTGTCTTGATGATTAGAGCTTTGTACTAGAGGCTAAAGTCTGGGATGGTGATGCCTCCTTTTTAGTTTTAGTTTTCTTCTACAATATTACCTTGGCTATTCAGGGTCATTTGTGGTTTCATACAAATTTTAGGAGTTTGTTCTAGTTTTGAGAAGAATGCTGGTGTAATTTTGATTGAGATTGTATTGAATGTGTAGATGGCTTTGGGTAGTAATGACATTTTAACAATATTTATTCTTCTGATCCATGAGCATGGAATGTTTTTCCATTTCTTTGTGTCTTCTTCAATTTCCTTCATAAGTTTTTCATAGTTTTTATCATACAGATCTCCTACATCTTTGGTTAGGTTTATTCCTAGGTATTTTATGAGGTTTTTTTGCGCAATTGTGAATGGGATGAATTTCTTGATTTCTCTTTCTGTTGCTTCATTATTGGTGTATGACCATGCAACTGATTTTTGTACGTTGATTTTGTACCTTCAGTGTTGCTGAATTCCTGGATCAGTTCCTGTGGGCTTCTGGTGGAGTCTGTCGGGTTTTCTATGTCGAGTATCATGTTGTCTGTGAAAAGTGAGAGTTTGACTTCTTCTTTACCAATTCTGATGCCTTTTATTTCCTTTTGTTGTCTGATGGCTGATGCTAGGACTTCCAGTGCTATGTTAAACAACAGTGGTGAGAGTGGACATCCCTGTCGTGTTTCTGATTTCAAGGGGAAAGCTCTCAGTTTTTCTCATTGAGGATGATGTTAGCTGAGGGCTTCTCATTGATGGCTTTTATGATGTTTAAGTAAGTTCTTTCTATCCCGAGTTTCTCGAGGGTCTTCATTAAGAAGGGACGCTCTATCTTGTCAAATGCTTTTTTCTGCATCTAGCGACAGGATCCTATGGTTTTTCTCTTTTCTTTTGTTGATGTGATGTATTCACAATGATTGATTTGCGAATATTGAACCAGCCCTGTAACCCAGGAATGAATCCCACTTGATCATGGTGGGTAATTCTTTTTCTGTGCTGTTAAATTTGATTTGCAAATATCTTGTTGAGGGTTTTTGCATCTGTATTCATCAAAGATATTGGCCTGTAGTTCTGGCTTTTTGCTGGGTCTCTGTCTGGGTTGGAAATCAAAGTGATGCTGGCTTCGTAAAATGAGTCCAGAAATTTTCCTTCTATTTCTATTTTTTGGAATAGCTTGAGAAGAATCCGTATTAACTCTGTTTTAAATATCTGGTAGACAACTTGACAATAAACTATTTAAGGGAAAAAAAATGAAAAAAATATAAATGTCTGGTAGAATTCCCCAGGGAAGCCATCTGGACCTGGGCTCTTATTCGTAGGGAGATTTTTGATTACTGATTCAGTTTCTTCACTAGTTAATGGTCTGTTCAGATTTTATCTCTTCCCGTGTGAATTTAGGTAGTGAATGTGTGTTTAGGAATTTGTCCAATATTTTGTTGGCATATAATTTTTGTTTTGTTGGCATATAATTTTTCGTAGTATTCCCCTGATAATTGCTTGTATTTCTGAGGGTTGGTTGTAATAAGTCTCTTTTCATTCATGATTTTTCTATTTGGGTGCTCTCTGTTTTTGAGAAGCCTGGCTAGAGGTTTGTCAATTTTGTTTATTTTCTCAAAAAGCCAGTTGAACTTGTTGAACCACTGATCTGTTCAACGCTTTTTTAAATTAATTAATTAATTAATTTATTTATTTAATTTGGCGTCTATATTGTTTATTTCTGTCCTGATTTTTATTATTTCTCTTCTCCTACTGGGTTTGGGGTGTTCTTGTTGCTCTCCTTCTAGTTCTTTTATGTGCGCTGTTAGATTTTGTACTTGCAATTTTTCTAATTTCTTGAGATAGGCCTAGAGTGCAATGTACTTTCCTCTTAGGAATGCCTTTGCCGCATCCCATAGAGTTACAATTGTTGTATTTTCATTTTCATTTGTTTCCATATATTTTTCAATTTCTTGTCTAATTGCCTGACTGGCCCATTCGTTCTTTGGTAGGGTGTTCTTTAACCTCCATGTTTTTGGAGGTTTTCCAGACTTCTTCCTGTGGTTGTTTTCAAGTTTCATATCATTGTTATCTGAAAGTGTTCATGATATGATCTCAATACTTTTATATTTATTGAGGGCTGCTATGTCCCAGTACGTGATCTGTCTTGGAGAATGTGCCAGGCACACTTGAGAAGACAGTGAATTCCATAGCCTCAGGATGTAGAGTTCTAAATATTTCTGTCAGATCCATCTGGTCCAATGTGTCATTCAACTCCATTGTTTCTTTAGTGATTTTCTGTCTCGTTGATCTATCCATTGTGTAATGGAGTATTAAATTCCCCTACTATTAGCATATTCTTTTCCATAAGATTGTTTCTGTTTGTGATTAACTGTTTTATGTATTTGGGTGCTTCTGAATTCGGTGCATAGACATTTAATATTGTTAGCTCTTCCTGATGGATAAACCTTGTAATTATTATATAATACATATATAAGAAGCCCTTCTTCATCCCTTGTTACTGCCTTTACTTTAAACTCTAGTTTGTATGATATAAATATAGCTACTCCAGCCTTCTTTTGACTTTCAGTGGCATCATATATATTTCTCCATCCCCTTACTTTCGATCTGAAGGTGTCCTCAGGTCTAAAATGAGTCTCTTGTAGACAGTAATAGATGGGTGCTGTTTATTTATCCATTCTGCTACCCTATGGCTTTTGATTGGATAATTTGTCCATTTACATTCAGTGTTATTATGGAAAGATATGGGTTTAGAGTCATTGTGTTCTTTGTAGGATTCATGCTTGTGGTGGTGTCTCTGGTACCTTGCGTTCCTTGCAACATTTCCCTCATAGAGTCCCCCTCAGGATTTCTTGTAGGGCTGGTTTAGTGGTGAAGAATTCTTTCAATTTTTGTTTATTTGGGAAGACTTTTATCTCTCCTTCTATTCTGAATGACAGGCTTGCTGGATAGAGGATTCTTGGCTGCATATTTTTTCCGTTCATCACATTGAAGATTTCCTGCCATTCCTTNCTCTCCTTCTATTCTGAATGACAGGCTTGCTGGATAGAGGATTCTTGGCTGCATATTTTTTCCGTTCATCACATTGAAGATTTCCTGCCATTCCTTTCTGGCCTGCCAAGTTCGGTAGATACGTCTGTCACCACTCTGATAGGTTTCCCTTTGTATGTTAGGGCCCTTTTCTTCCTAGCTGCTTTCAGAATTCTCTCCTTGTCCTCATATTATGCCAGTTTCACTGCAATATGTCATGCAGAAGATCGATTCAGGTTATGTCTGAGGGGAATTCTCTGTGCCTCTTGGATTTCAGTGTCTGTTTCCTTCCCCAGATTGGGTAAGTTCTCAGCTATCATTTGCTCAAGGACTCCTTCAGCGCCTTTCCCTCTCTCTTCCTTTTCTGGAATTCCTATGATTCGGATATTGTTCCATTTGATTGTATAACTCAGCTCTCAAACTGTCTTTTCACGTTCCTTGATCAGTTTATCTCTTTTTCTCGGCCTGCTCTTTTTCTTTAATTGTGTCTTATAATTCACCTATTCTCCTCTCTGCCTCTTCCATCTGTGCTATGGACGCCTCCATTTTATTATGCATCTCATTTTTAGCATTTTAAAATTCATCGCAACTATTTTTAAGCCCCATAGTCTTTGTAGCAATAGTTTCTTTGATATCGCCCATGCCTTTCTCAAGCCCAATGATTAATTTTATGACTGTTGTTCTAAATTCTTGTTCAGTTATGTTGCTTATATCTGTTTTGAGCAGTTCTTTAGCTTTCATTTCTTCCTGGAATTTCTTTAGAGGAGAGTTCTTCTGTTTCATCATTTTGGATAGCTTTCTGTCTCTTGTTAGTTGTAAAAGCTTCTTATGCACTCTCCACCTGTGAGTACTGCTGTAATAAAGAAGGCAATGTGACTGACCAGGGCGTGTCTATTCAGGAAGTGTGTTTTGAATGGTGTCTCTTTGTCTCTCTTGTTGAGACTTTGGTTATTTTGTTTGCCTACTCATAGTGGTATTTGGGACTCTCCCCCATGTGTACTTTGGCTTGTTTCTTGACGTAGCACTGGAAAAGAAAACAAACACACAGGGAACAAAGACACACAAATGCACAGACAAATCCAAAGAACACACAAATCAAAAGGGAAAAAGAAAAAGAACGGAAGAAAATAAGAAGGGAAAAAAAGAGGAAGGAGGAAAAACAAAATAAAAAAGAAGAAAGAAGAAAAGAAAAAAGAAAAAAACCCAAAAGACAAAGGACAGTCTAAATGCATAAAACCAGAATTCCCGGCTACAAATAAAGAGCAGGGTGTATGCAGTGCTGATGGGTGAGCATATACAAAGAGAGAAATGACAGGGCAGGGAGGAAGCGAAATTACATGATGACTAGACAGAGAGACTAAGAGGCTTAATTCAGAGAGAGAAAGAGGAGTATATGGTAATAGGCGAGGAGGAGGAAACAAAGATAATGTTAATCAGAGAAACTGTATAGTCTGATTACTCCAGAGAGAGAGAAAGGTAGCGGCGGAGGTCTAAGAATATACATCTAGAGATTGGATTAAATGTGACTGTTTAAGCAAACCAATGACCTGAGTGCCCAGTCCAGCAGAGGGGAGGGATACGAATGAGACAAGGGAAAATATATCTGAATGGAAAGAATTGATCTAGAATTAATCACAGCAGTGCATCCATGTTGGTCTTGCCTTGTTCTCCAGTAGGAAAAAAAAAAAAGCAGCTCTCTAGCGGGGATGGGTGTGGATTGGTGAAGGCAGGTCTTAGCCTCCACTGATTCCCACAGGCAGCTCCCTGAGGTCCCACCTTGGTGGTTTTCTAGAGAAAAATAGCTGTGTCCCAGTCCTTTCTTAAACCAAGTGTTGCAACTCACTCTTTTGAGTTAGATCTCCCTGTGCTGCGAGCGTAGCCAAGGTGGGCTATGCTCTATGTCCCAAGTCTCTCCTCGTTTCCAGATCTTAGTCCTCACACCCCATCGATACTTTCCAAAATAAACCCGCAGGCCGAGTCCCTCCAAGCAGTTTCAGGCCTGTTGCCTCCCCACTGGGGTGGAGCCGAGCTAGAAGAGCGGCAGAGCGGCTTCAGGTGCGCCGCTTCCCCTCCGGGTGGAGCTGGCGAACAGAGGGACAGTTTCTCCTGGCGTCGCCCGGGACCGGGACCGGGGCGTCCAGCTCAAGGTCAGCTGCACAGCTGGAAACCGGATCCCTCTGTGTCCCGAGCCAAGGTTTCTCTCTTCTCCAGGGACAGGGACAGTTCCTTGAGCAGTTTCAGCCGCTCTTTCTTTTCCCCTCGACTCACCTGTGGCTCCCTACAAGGGGGCTCCCTGCCCTTCCTGTGTGTCTCCGGTCCTGGCCCGTTTTTACCTTCCCCCATTTGACTCACACTATAAGGTTGTTTTCTAAGCAGACTCCGTTTCCTCCCAAACTCCTGGATTCTGTAAGGGTTCCTATGGCTTCAGGTCTTCTCCGTTTGAGAGATGGGGGCGAGTGAAATGTACGGAGCTCCCTATTTCTCCTCCATCTTGCCTCCTCCTATTCAGATCTGCTTTATTCTTAAGGACTTGGGTTGCAAAGAGATGAGAGAAGCCAGCTCTCTGATTGAAGATGCTTTGGAGGAATCACAGGTACCACACAGGGCAATGTTCTCTCTGTTGTCTGTACAGCAGAGTTATCCAAACCCGGCATCACAAACCATCAAGCTGACCCCATGGAGAATGTGGATTCTCAAGTTTAACATGTGAACTTGAGACTGAGAACACAAGCTACCTGTGGTCAGTAAACAATGAGAGCCTCCCGGACAGTGCCAGGCTGGAACTGTCCCTGGACAACAGGACCCTCACTGTACATGGTGTAACAAGGAATGACACAGGACCCTATGAGTGTAAAACTCGGAACCCAGTTTTACATTGTCAGTGACAATCGTAGTGATCCGTTTACCCTATATGTTCTCTGTGAGTAATTTTTTCCCTACCTACTTGTATTCTGCCCCCACCATTTCCCCCTCCGACTCCTATTACCGTCCACAGGCAAACCTCAGTTTCACTTGCCACTTAGCCTCTAACTCGCCTGCACAGTATTCTTGGCTTGTCACTTGGAAACCCCAGACATCCACACAGGAGCTCTTTATCCCCAACTTCACTGTGAATCATAGTGGATCCTATACCTGCCTCCTCTATAACCCTGGCACTCACCTCGGGAAGTCCACAGTCAAGACTATCACAGTGTCTGGTAAGTGGGTCCCTGGAGCATCGGCACTGAGCACTGTGGTGGAGGTCTGCCTGGTTTTCAGATAAAAGCCTAGAAGAAGTTATTTTGCATTTGCTTGTGACACTGACCTGTCCCTGAACTCTCCCATCACATGTCTGCAGATGCTCCCTCCCCTTGCTCTCTGAGTTCTCACGTCAGATCTTGAGATCTGAGATCTGAGATCCCACAGTCCAGGCTGCCATGTGGGGAGGCGATTCTGGCAGCTCCAGAACGCTCCACACGTATAAGGGGACTTTGGAGCTGGGGAAGAAAGAAGGATCCTCAGGGTCGAGTGCTTTTGGTTGTTGTTGAATTGCAGAAGCGTTTTATATACTCTGGATATTAATGTCTTACCAGATAAAATTTGCAAGTGTTTTCTTCTACTCCACGACTTGTCATCACTTCATTGTTGTTGTTGTTAAGGAACTTCAGTTGACACTCAGTGTAACATTAGTTTCAGGTACACAGCATCGGGATTAGACAACTCTATATGTTATGCTATGCCCACCACAGTGTAACTACCATCAGTCACCATACAATGCTATTAAAATACCATTGACTACACGTCCTGGCTGGTTCAGTTCTTACAGCAGGTGACTCTTGAACTCAGGGTTGTGAGTTCGAACCCCACGTTTGTTGTAGACCTTAGTTAATCTTAACAAAATGTTTAAAAAATTAATAAAATAATAAATTAAAATACCATTGAAAGTATCTCCATGCTGTATATTTCGTTCCTGAGTCCTGCTCATTCCTTAACTATCATCACTTTCTTTTTTTCTTTTTTTTTTTTTTTATTTATTTCTAGGAGAGAGAGAGACAGCGTGAGCAGGGGAGGGTCAGAGAGAGAGGGAGACACAGACTCTGAAACAGGCTCCAGGCTCTGAGCTGGCAGTCAGCATAGAGCCCGACGCGGGGCTCGAACCCACGAACCGCGAGATCATGACCTAAGCGAAAGTCGGGCGCTTAACCGACTAAGCCACCCAGGCGCCCCTTACCATCACTTTCTTAATTGTGCCTTTTGGTGCGCAGAAGTTTTCTATTTCAATGCAATCCAAATCATCTATTTTTTCTTTTGTTGTCTTTGCTTTGGGTGTCATATCTAAAAATCATTGGGAAATCCAGTTTCAATAAGCTTTTGTTTTATGTGATCTTCTAAGACTTTTACAATTTTGACTCTTATGTTTAGATGTTGGATCTATTTTAAATTAGTGTTTGGACATGATGTAAGGTAAGGGTCCAACATCATTCATTTCCATGGGTATACAGTGTTCCCAAGACCATTTATTGAATACCATTTTTTTTCTCCATCGAATGGTCATGACAACCTTATTGAAAATCGTTGGACCATATATATCAGGGTTTGTTTCTGAGGTGCCTGTTGTATCCCATTGGTCTCTATCACTATCTATATACCAGGCCCAATTTTATTTACTGTAGCTTTGTAGTCAAGAAGTAGGGAGTCCTCCACCTTTGTTCTTTTTCAAAATAATTTTGGCTATTCGAGGCCCCCGAGATTTCAGATGAATTTTTAGAGATTTCTACTCCTGCAAAATATTTCCTTAAAAATTTGATAGGAGGGCACCTGACTGGCTCAGTCAGTGGAGCATGCTACTCTTGATCTTGGGGCTATATGTCCAAGCCCCAAGTTAGGTACAGAGATTACATAAAAACAAAATCTTAAAAGAATTTGATCAGATTGCATTGAATCTCTGGGTCTCTTTGGGTAGTATTGTCATCTTAACAATATTAAGTCTCATCGTCCATGAACATGGGATATCTTCGCTTCATTTGTGTCTTCTGTAAATTCTTTCAGCGACATTTTACAGCTTTCCATGTATAGTCTATTGCCTCATTAGCTATTCCTAAGTATTTTATTCTTTTTAATGTTATTGTAAAGGAAACTGTTTTCTTGATTTGGGGGAGGGAAGGTATTTCATTTTTAGTGTATATCAACACAAGTGATTTTTGTATGTTGATTTTATATCCTGCAAGTTTGCTGAAATTGTTGATTAGTTCAACAGTGTTTGCAGAATTTCTAGAGTTTTGCACATATCATTTCAGTAATCTGCAAACAGATTAATTGTACTTATTCCTTTCCAGTTTGATTGCATTCTATTCTTTTTGTCCTAATTACTTTGGCATGGATTCCTGTAATCTGTTGAACATGGGTGGTGAAAGTGGCAGGTTTATGTTCTTTCTGATCTTAGAGGAAACACTTTCCGGGTTTCACCATTGGGTATGAGGCTAGCTGTGTGTGTTTCATATAAAGCCTTTATTATGTTGCCATCATTTCCATATATTTATAAAGGTACCAGTATTGTGTACACAGTAACCACTTCTCTAAGGACATTTTTCAAAATCCACGGATGTAAAAGTCTTTTTCAGACTGAGAAATCCTGTAGATAGAAAACCCTTCAATTCCTAAGGTGATGAAGACTGGGTGGGCTGCACTCATTTCCTAATAAATTATATCAGTGTAAATGCCTTCCCTCCTTTATATAAAGCTGCCCTGGACACAGAGACAGGGAGCTGCGTGCCTTCCTCCCCCAACATACACAGTAAAGTATATAAGGAGTGAGGTGTGATCTGTTAAAGTCACAAAAGTTCAAGGAAAGAATCTCACAGGAGTCTATGGGGAAAATTCCACGTGATGATGAAGATGCTAGACACATGGGTTAAGAGTGTGTGTGCTCATACCACAGAGATGTCAAGACAGACCAGACAGATGCCAGAGGGCCAGAGGAAGACCTGAGGGTTGGATGGGCAGGTACAGCCCCATCCTTATAGATCGTCACCTATACAAAGACACTCATCCTTCTGCAGACTTCAGGGCCATCCTCTGGGACACCTTTACAGAGTTCAGTGGGGCCATTGGAGTGGCCAAGATCTCAGAGGGAAGACCATGGCCGCAGGCTCAGGCCCGTTCTCAGTCTGTCAACTCCTCTGTTTCTCCACAGAGCAAGTATCCCAGCCTGCTCTCCACGTCAGCAACTCCACAGTCACAGAACATAAGGACTCTGTGGTCCTGACCTGCTCCACAAATGACGTGGGGATCTCCATGTGGTGGTTCTTCAATGGCCAGAGTCTCCATCTCATGGAGAGAATGAAGCTGTCCCAGGACAACAGCACCCTCACCATAGACCCTGTCAGGAGGGAGGATGCTGGGACTTATCTGTGTGAGGTCTCCAACCCAGTCAGTTCCAGCAAAAGTGACCCCATAGGACTGGCTGTGAGCTGTGAGTGACCCTCAACCTCTCCCCCTTCTTCCCTCTATATTGGCCCAGCAGGAGGTGTGAAATAGGATACAGGCCTGGAGGAGGTGGGAGCCTCCTTAACAGCCACTTGAGCAATGTGGATAAGATATCTGAAATTAGGCTAATCTTGTTAACATCTTGGTTCTGCTTCATGCCAGCTGTGGGACCTCAGAGAAGACACTCACCTCCAGAACCTCAGTGTCCTCATCTGTAAAACTGAAAAGAACAGCTGGATCTTAGGGCTGTTCTGAGGGTTGTCACTATGAGCTTAATGAGAATTTAAATCCTGAGACAGCTACCTGAGCAGATTCCAGGCACAATCATTTTAGCAGCTATTGTTCTCGTGTTATTAACATTGTTGTTATTAGCTGTAATGTCATATGGAGCTGGGATATAGTGTTGTCTGATCACGGTCCAGTTCTGTGACCTCCACGAGGTTCCCGAAGCCCTTGACATGCTCAGATGCTGATATTGCACAGTGGAGATGACCCCCTCTAGGGCAGGGAAGCAGCAGGTGAGATCAATGGAAAGTGTTCCCCATGTGCCTGGCCCAGAGCTGATCTCGAAAGCGGTCAGCTGATGTTATTCTCACTAATCAGTGTTGAGTGGACAGGTAGGGGTCTCCCTCTAAGTCTATCGATAGTGATGGAAAGGAAAAAATGGGGGAAGATGCATAATGTGAAAGAGAGAGAGAGGCCTTAAGAGGAAAGGGCACAGGATGTGGTCGCTGCCACAGTTTGGGGCAGGCGAGGACATGAAGATGAGAGTAAGTCCAAGGTTTCACTCTGAGGAGGAGAAAGGGCACAGCAGGAGACACCTGGGTGGCTCAGCTGGTTAAGCTACAATTCTTTTTGTTCTTTAAGTTTTTTTTTCAAAGTTTATTTATTTATTTTGAGAGAGAGAGTGAGAGATATGAAGTTAGGTAGAGGCAGAGAGAGAGGGAGGAAAAATTCCATGGAAGCTCCACACTGTCAGCACAGAGCCCAATATGGGGCCAGAACCCACAAACCATATAAGTTTCTGGCCTGAGCCAAAGACAGACACATTACCGACTGAGCCACCGAGGGCCCCAAGCATGCAACTCTTAATCTCAGCTCAGGTCATGACCTCATGGTTCGTGGGTTCGAGCCCCTGGTTGGGATCTGCACTGATAGTGGGGACCCTGTCTGGAATTCTGTCCCCCACTCTCATACTCCTCTCCCATCTCGCTCTCTCTTTCTCTCTCTCTCAAATAAAAAAAATTAACAAAGAAGAAGAAGAACAACAACTAGAAATGATGCAGCAGCCAAGGGGGTGGGGACTGTGTGGGGAAAAACACAACACCCAGACCTCAAAAGCCTTTCCTTCCTCCCTAACCAAGCCCTTCCCCCCAGCCCCTCATGGTTTCCTCAGCTATTCCTCCATCTTTTTGCTTCTTCTTTCAGATGAAGTAAGCACCACAGGCCTTACTGTGGGGACCAGTGTTGGCATTGCAATTGGGGTCCTGGTTGGGGTGGCACTGGTGGCTGTCCTGGGGTATCTCTTACTCCGCATGAGGATGGGAAGGTACGATGGCATTTCCCACATACTGATGCTCTTGTGTGCCCCACCCCCCACCCCGCCCTGGACCCCATCAGCAGGGAGACCCTGTCCTGACCCAGGATTCTGAGCTGGCTTTCCTGGGCCTCCCAACTGCACCCTAGATTTCTCTTCTCATTGCACCTGCTTCCTTCCTCACCAGCTGCTGCCCGGGGCCCTTCCTCCACAGCTTCCTCTGTGATAAATTCAGGACAAGCAGAGAACAGCCCCTCAGGGTTGTCCTGGTTCACTTGGTAAACCTATAGCAGTGCTCAGTACTGAGTGCTCAGTGACCCGTAGCTCCCATGCTTTGTGAGTCCACATGCCCTGGGAGGGGGATCTGTAGCCTTGGGATCTGAGGATGGTCCTCCTGGCCAAGGTCATGCAAGGGAGAGTGGATGATCCTGACAGGCCGGGTGGGGTCAACCCCCAAAGTGGCACATGTGGGAACCACAGGGCTGATGTGTGAGACCACACACCCTGACCCCAGCAGCTGGAGGTGCTGGGTGATGCCTCTTGTCCTGGCAGATGGAGTTAAAGGACGGGCTGATGTCATTTTTCAGCATCTCTTGGCCTGAGGGGCCGCTGGTTTGGCCACTGCAGAGGCACCACATTCAGGGATCTGACATACCCGGGCTCCCAAGTATCCTGCACACACAGCTGGCTGCCTTGACACTTCCACTCACTCATACCCTCATGTGTGATTCCTTTCCTGGGACCCTGATCCCTGTTCAGCATACTTTCCCTAGATGTCCGTCAGCCTGCCCAGCTTCCCCTCTGGTCCGAGGACAGATGTGCTCCAAAGGCCTTTCTTTATCCCTCTCCTGGTCTCTTCTTCTCCTAAGTAGCACTGGTAGAGACACGTGGTCTCTAAGCCCTGCTGGGATGAGGACCCTCCTTGTCCCCTGTTCTGACACCAAAGCTGTGACGTCTCCCTGCTCACTTCACAAATAAGCCTGATCTTTCCTAGGACCGGTTGCCTATGTAATCAAAGAGAGATCGGGAACCCAGCCTCCACCCCTGGTGAGTATCCCTTCAGTCCAGGCAGCCCAGGGAGCCCCTAGTCCTGCCTCTCAATGTCCACTCCTGCCAGTCACTCCCAGAGGCCGCTGACCGTTTCTCTGAGGCTTCAGAACAGGGGACTCCAACTGGCAGTACTCCCTGACCTATGGAATCTAGGTCACGGGTGAGCACCTCACTGCCCAGCACCAGTGGGTCTCTCCTTGAGAGGTGCCCTTTCTTCCCTGGATCTCTGAGAGCTGATGACCTGGAACCTTCTGGGAGTGTGGGTGCTAATTCCTGTCTCTATTCCCAGGCCATGGACCAGCCAGCAACTCCACATCCCCGGTAAGCCCGCCCACTTCCCACTCCTTCAACTGGGGTCTAGGCTCTGGGAACACAAGGTAGGGAGCCTACCAGTTCAGCAGCACAGCACACACCCTGCTGCCCCCAGAGTAGCCAGGATAAGGCAAGCCCCGCTCTGACAAGGATGGCCATGGGACCATCTTCAGGGGCAGGACCATTCTCCAACCTGTCCTGAGACTTCCCTGCCACTCTGAACTGGCCCAAGGGGAACCCTGGAGTCTGGCCAGGGGCAGAGCACTGGGAGCATCAGCCAGGGGTCCTGGGCTAAGAAGAGTGGGGCAGGGAATTCAGGAGAGACGGGTCTGGGACTGGAGTGTGGGTCAACAGGCTGGGAGAAGGCTGCTCAAGAAGCAGAAGGGGTCACCCCTGCAGAGAATGACTCTCCCTCTGCCCGCTGACACCCGTTCTCTCCCCCTGTTCAGAACTCCCGACCCAGCACGACTACAGCCGTTCCCATCTACCAGGTGAGTGTGAGCCATGAATATTCTGGTCTCCCAGTCCCAAGGGTGCTGAGGATTGGCCCCCAGCCCTCTCCTGCCTGTGCTTTGGGGTTCAGGAAACAGCAGAGCAGAAGGGGACAGGGGCTGGTGGGAGGAAGGAGGGGCCCAGGGCAGAAACTGCCACCCAGCCAGGCTCCCAGAGAGGTGGGTGTAGGACCTGAAATTCACCCAAATATGTACTGAGAAACTCTTTAGGTTCAGAGACCACTTCTTCTTTTACAGGAATTACAACACAGTGACAGGAACATTTACTGCCAGATCAACCACAAACCACAAGTGTCTTCTTAGTTTCCCACGGGAGCTACTCCCTCCAGTGGCCCTCCTGAGACCCCAGACCCTAGGTGGGGTCAGGTGTCCCAGCCTGAGCCAGAGATCCAGCTCTAAGACCAGAGGATATTCAGGCCCAGGGTCCGGGCCTTCCTGATTTCTGGAAGCTCTGACAGGCTACTCTGAACCTCGATGGGCCAGGACAAAGGCCACCATGTCCCGAGAAGTGGGGGTTCCCAGGGAAAATGTCCAGGCCCCTGACCACCTGGGACCACGTGAGAGGATCTGCATTAAGAGCACTCTTCCCCCTCCTTTGCTCTGTTTTGGGAAAGGTGATTTCTCTGAGCAGAAATTTAATTGAAACTCCAGGGCCCTTCTCTCCTGGGTCTCCCAGGGAAATGTTAACTGTAAGTAACCAAGCCCCCACCTTAGTCCCCTGAGATGGAGGAAGGGGCAAGGGGTGGACACGCTGAGACCATGTTAACTCTAGCCCTGGGATTCCCAGCAGAGTCCACTTTTCTCCCTGATCTCAAATCTTATCTTGAAACACACCACCTCCCCATAAATAAGAGTGAGGTCAGAGGCAGAGGACCTCCCCCACTTAACTCTCTCCCAGGCTCCCATGGCGATGAGACAAAGTGTCGCTTCCACCTGGTCCACGGGCCTGGTTTCCCTGTCCCACCTGCAGCCTCCTCCACACACCTGGGCCAGCAGCTGTCAGTCCCTCCCCGAGGCCCCAGGTAAGGGGCTGTTTCCATGCAGATTCCCTCGCATCAGTGCCCCCATTCACACAAACAAAAGTGGTCCAAGTGCCCAGGCACCGCCCCCACTTTTCACAAGAGGGTTTGCCATCACCCGAGTGTTGTTTCTTAGTCAAGAGATGAGACGTAAGAAAAACGACCTGCAAAGTACCAACCACATCATGTTTAGCTCTGAGATGCTCCTATCCCAATGCACACTATGTTGGATTAGACAAGGTGATGCCTCTTCGTAGTTTCTTCTTGCTGTGCTCATGAATTATCGTAAGCTTCGTGGTGGAAGTCAACACACATCGAGGTGCCCACCCGGCTGTTTCCTCTGGAGGTTCTAGGAGAGAGTCTGTTTCCGTGTTTTTTCATGTTGTGCTCTTGGAGGCCGCCTGTGTTCCATGGCTGTGGCCTCATCCTACCCCTTCAAAGCCAGCAGCACAATATCTTAAAGGCTCTTTGTGTCCTGTTTCCAACAACACATCTTCTCTGGTTCCGCCTCTCCTGCCTCCCTCGTCACTCCCTCTGTCACTCCTTCTATCATGCCTGGGTAGCTCAGTTGTTGTCGAGTCCATCTTCACCTCAGTCATTATCTCACAAGTTCAGGACCTGTGTCAGACTCTGTCCTGACAGCCAGAGGGCCTGGAGCATGCACTGAATTCTGTCCCCCTCTCCCTGCCACTCTCTCTAAAAAATAAACAAACATTTACTAAAAATTAAAAAATTAAAAATTAAAAAAACCCTTGTAATTATTTTGGCCCACCCGGAAAACCACCATAATTTCAAAATCACTTAATCCTTAGCTTAATCTGTAAATCCCTTTATCATTGATATAGTCACAGATTCTAGACACAAGGATGTGGACATCTCTGAGGGGCCTTTTTGACCACAATCCCGAGGCTGTTTTCGTCACATCCTTCACTACACACTGCTGGTGGGCAGCCTGGTCTTGGTCATCTGACCATGGAGTCACTTCCTGCAGTGATATCTACAGCACCATGACTGCCCTAAGTGAGGGCGATGAAGGCCCCTCCACATTCCCTGCAGCCCTGTCCACCTCTTCCTTGTTAGTAATGCTCCTTGTTAAGAATGGAAAGGGATCAGACACAACTGCAAGATCCCAGCTCCCAAGCTTTGGGAATACATTGGTGAACATCAGCACCTTGGACAGTGCCGCAGCCATGCCCCTCCCAGGGGTTGAGCAGGGAGGTGGCAATAAGGGACTCTGGAGAAGCTGACCATTGCTATTCTACCTAAGAACGATGTAATGAGGCAGAACACTATCACAGGGATAAGCGGATTCTGCTCTAATTTATCAATCATACACCCTTTGCACATGTCTGGATGTTACTGGTGGCACGTCCAATACAAGTCCCTCACGGCTGTTTGTTGCATCCAGAGGGTGGCCTTGGGGAGTCTGGGAGGCTGCTTCAGCCTCCTGGGGAACCTTCTGGTGCCGGAGAGTCGGGCCACTGTCTTGCCGACAATAAGGAAGGGATGGGGCGCCTGGCTGGCTCAGTACAGGATGACACCCTTGAACTCAGTGTCATGAATTGGAGCATTGGGGATAGAGTTTCCTCAATAAAAGAAAAATCTGAAAATAAAAGGAAAGAATATTTCATGATTAGCCTCTGGTCCTTAGTGCCTGACCTTAGAAACACACTCATCACCCATCCTGAAGAACCCCCTGAGCACAGCATCCTGTTTCCCAAGGCCCAGCTGAGCCCCCCAGGCAACAGGGCTGAGCAGGGCCCCTGGGCTCTACTCCCAGCTTCCTCTTGCTGAGCTCTGTGCCTAGTGATAGAGTCCTTTGCCATCTGCCTGCCCTTCCCGGCCCAGCAAAATTTCCCAGGGGACAAGGGGGGGTGTCTGAAGATATCCCGGGGGAACCCTGCATTTGCATGTGACCCCTCAGGGGAAGAGAAAGGACAAGGGTGTTCATAGTCGCCCCCATCTTCCTTTTCCCCCATTCATGTCCCACCTGCAGAACCAATTCTGATGTTACAGGCCCAGTCCTGCCCCTCCATGGCGTCAGGTCCTTCTGTCCACTCAGAGTGTCCAATATAAGGGTCACCTGGGTGCTCTGATCCTTATTATTTCTTTCTCTCTGCTTTTTGCTAAGTCCTTTTAGCTCTTCCTTTTCTAGTGTTCATAGTAGGAAGTTAGATTTTTAATTTGAGACATTTCCTTTCTTGTAATGTAAGCATTTTGTGCTAGAAATTCCCTTCCCAGTATAGCAAAAGCTGCACCCCATAAACCGAGGAGGGTTTTTTAAAGTATATTTTATTTATTTCTTAGTATTTAAGGTGTTTTTTATTTTGAGATAGAGATAGAGCATGGGTAGGGTAGAGGGGTAGAGTGGGAGACAGAGAGAGAGAGAGAGAGAGAGAGAGAGAACCCCAAGCAGCCTCCATTCTCAGCACAGAGCCTGCCTTGGGGCTGAGTCCCACGAGCCTGAGATCACGACCTGCCTGAGATCAAGAGTTGAATGCTCACTGACCAAACCATCCAACGACCCCAATTCTGTGTAGCTTTAACATATCCTTTGACACTTGCTCTTTGACCCATAGATTATTTAGAGATAGGTAGTTTACTTTCCAGTCTTCCAGAGATTTTTCAGTTCTCTTTCTATTATTAATTTCTAGTTTGATTACCACTTTCCGAGAACATACTCTGATTTCAGTCATTTTCAGTTTGGGTTGGAGCACCTGGCTGGCTGTCGGTGGAGCCTGTGACTAATCGCTGGCTCGTGAGTTCAAGCCCAACGATGGGGTTAGAGTTTACACAAAACAAAGGGGACAGCTGTCTGGCTCAGGCAGTTAAGCTTCCACCTGTGGCTCTGGTCATGCTCTCATGGTTGATGTTTTCAAGACAGCAAACAAACTGGACCAGGAAACAGACTGAAGTATGATGGGAATTACATCAGTTTCCCCTAGAAGTCAATCTATGAAACACTTTCTAGTCTGTAAACTAAGCAGGGGGAGAGACTCGTGTTCCAAAAGAGTGAGGTTTACCCTTTGGGTGGGCTCAGTATAATGACTCCTTTCTCCACTAGATGGCGATGCTGAGCTCACCGGGCCACCCCAGTGAGGGTTCTTGAGGCACCTTTAGGCGTGTATGCGCGTGCGCAGGAGGGGTGACAATGGTGTTACCCGGCTACCCAGTCTCTAGTATCCGAATTCTGTGCTCTGGTGGACCAGGAATCCCACACTCCCCCATTTGTCTCTGGCTTTCATCCACTCCCTGTTTTGGCACTGTCCGTGACCAAGCTGTCAGGTTGCCAGACGCACCTCCCTCCTGAGTTTATGTCAGGTGCGGCTGTGTTTCCTGACCCCTCACTTCTGAGGGACTACGATTGATACGCTCAGACCTTCGGAGGGAGGGTCTCACTGAGCAATAGCCGAGTGTTATACTGCTATCCTGGTCTGCTCTGCTCTCCAGCGCTGGCATAGGCCTTGCTCAATCTCTGCTTCTTCCCTGTAGAGTTGGAAGGGGTTCCCTTGCCTCCCTGGGCCACCTTTTGCCCTTAAGGAAGAAGGGGAGTGGAAGTTGTTAGCCCGGAGTTTCCTTAAGCCACCAGAGGGAGGACAGAGAGACACAGGGCTCCATGGGTGCTGCCCCTGTAGGCAGACCGATCCACTGCCAGTGACCCAGTTGGCAAGCAGGGGCAGGCACAGCCCAAAAGGACTTCTCGCTGCAGCTACTGCAAACTGATCCCCATCTGCAGCGGCCTCAGGTGTGGAGCGGAGGCTGGGGCTCCCACCTGGGTCTTTACTTTCCCTTTAGCAGTCTTCAGGCCAAAGAGACTGGACTTTGCGAGTTTCCTGTCTATATCCGTTGGCTACAGCCTCCAGGTTGCAGGCTCCTTCTGCACCGAGTCAGGACTGTACGGGTATTAAAAAGGAAAACCCAGGGAACTTGCTACTTGTCTGCCTTCTTCTTTTCAGCTAGAAGAATTCTTTTACCAATGTCTATCAAACATTCCCAGGTAGTCGGTTGTACTTACAGGAGAAGAGCAGAGAAAAGTGAGTCTGTTGGGGGTCGTGGGTGCTGATGTTATTCCAGAATGGGACACCCAGGTCACCCAGGTCATCTCTCATATTAGTTTTCTATCAGTGGTGTAACAAATCACCTAACTTAGCAGCTTAAGCACAGCAAATGTGTTGTCTTTCAGTTCTGCGGCTCAGAAGTCTGACATGGGTGTCCTTGGGCCCATGCAAGATGTTAGCAGGGCTGTGTTCCACCGGGAAGCTCTAAAGGGATATCCATTCCTTTCCCTTTTCTAACTTCTAGAGGCCTCTCACGTTCCTTGGCCCATGGCGCCCTTCTCCCATCTTTAAAGCCAGCAACATAGCAAGTATGAGACCCCTTTTTCCATCATTATACCATCTCTGAGAGATTGATTTTGGCTCCAAAATTGATCCCAGGGTCGTGGGATCAAGCCCCGTGTCGTGTTCCACACTGCCATGGAGGCTGCTTAGGGTCCCTATTCCCTTTGCCCCTTTCCCCCGTTTCCATGCTTCCCCTCTCATTGTCTCTCTCTCCTCCTTGTAAATCAGGAAGTAAGGGAGGGAGGGTAAGAAATCTCTGTTTTTAAAAAAAGACAAGTGTTAGTGAGGATGTTAAGAAATAGGCACCCTTGCACACTGTAGGTAGAAATGCAAAATGGTGCAGCCACTATGGAAACCAGTTTGGAGGGGCCTCAGAAAATTAAACATAGAGCTACCATAGGATCCAGCAATCCTGCTTCTGAGTATTTCTCCTAAAGAACTGAAATCAAAATCTCGAAAAGATATTAGCACACCTGTGCTCATTGCAGCCCTCTTCACAATGGCCAAGGTGTGGAAACAACCTAAGTGTCCATCCACAGGTGGATGGTTGAGGCAAATTTATTGTGTACATATAAGAGAACCCTACTAAGAGGCTAGAGCTCATAGGAAGTGTAAAGAAAAGAAGAGAAAGATAAAAGAAAATGGAAAACATTTTCTCAGTCAAAAACAAAACAAACACCACTCTGAGATGCCACCTCACATACATTAGACTAGCTGAAACAATTACAAAGACTGTCCACACCAAGTGTTGCTGAGGATGTGGGGCACTCAGACCTTTCCTATACTGCTAGTGAGAAAGTAAAATTAAAATGATGAAGTAAAAGTAGGAAAAGCACAAGTAAAAGTAGGAAAGTAAAATTAAATAGTAAAAGCAACTACTTTGGAAAACAGTGTAGCACATTCCTTAAAAATGAAACCTGTGATCCAGCCATCACACCCCTAGGTGGGTCACTAAACATGAGAAAGGGAAGCTCACGCCGTTTTCAAAGACTCGTGCACCGACATTCCTGGCAGGTCTACCAGTAATAGGCCAGATTTGGAAAGAACATAAAAGATCA